TGCAAAAAACATAGCAGAGTTTCCATGTGTGCTACTACAACCTTGTTTTCCTGACATTCTAAACATGATGATATAAATGTATATATGTATTCATGTTAATTATGACCATGTATGCAATTGCAATACATGAAGAGATAAATATAATGATGCTATCAGAATGGCATGCCCTGGGCTATGGCCCTGCCCCCTTGGACTAATCAGTAGTCTTTGGGTATGGCCCTGTCCCTTTAAACAGTCAGTAGTCCCTGGGGGTATGGCCCTGTCCCTTTGGACAGTCAGAAGTCCCTGGGTATGGCCCTGCCCCTTTGGACAATCAGAAGTCCCTGGTATGGCCCTGCCCCTTTGGACTTTAGTCAGTAGTCCCTAGGAATAGCCCTGTCCCTTTGTACTAAGAGTAGTCGCTAGCTCAACATGGAAACTGTTGAGATCATCACCATATAACCTTATATACAATCACTGGGCGTTGAAAGACAGGCACAAATATGCTACTCTGATTGGCCTTTGGGTCTGCATACCTCACTCTAAGGGACTTTGTCCCTGTGTTGTAACATGGAAACAGTTGAGATCTCCACCCTGTAACACTATTATGGCTGAACATGAAGATTCGGATACACATATACCACCAGGATTGGCCCCAGAAACTGGCAGAATGCCTGGAAACTTAGTTGTTGGGTCAATAATCATGGAAATGCATGATTGCTACAGTCATGGGCATGAAAAGATAAACACAGATATGGTATAGTTGGATTGGCCTTGCAGTCTAGCACCTCCCCAGGGAAGTTAGTGCCTGGTCACAATTTGGAAACAGTTGAGATCCCCACCATATTTAACTATATAATGTACTATTGCTGCACCTGAAGATTTGGACACATATTTCCAGGACTAGCCTTGCCTCCCCAGGCCCTGCCCTCAGGACTTAGAAACCTGGATTACAAGATGGATATGGTTATATCCCCACACAATAACCATTTATAACATTTCTGGGCATACAGTCTGACAACAAGCATGTCGCAAGAATTGGCAGTGCCCCTCAAGTCAGTGTTCCTTGGTAAACATAAAAACAATTTAGATCCCCACCCTAACCTTATATACAGTTGTTTTGTATGAAAAGACATATTCAGGTATGTTTTAACCAGGATTGACCTCAGAATGTGTTACATTCTATAAAGGATATTGATGATTGCTGAGCATAAAGATCTGTGGTACATGTATGCTTCCCTGATATGAAGCCTCGATCGTGTCTGGCCCTGCCCCTCGGGACTTAGTTCTTAGATTGCCACATGGAAAGAGTTAAGATCTCCACACTATATCTAACCATTTATACAAATGCTGGGCATGAAGTCAGACATATCAAGAAATTGTTTAGAAGTGTGGCCCAGTCACTTGAGACTTAATCCCAGGATCACAGCGAGAAACACTTCACTTTATAACCATACTAACAATTACTGGGCAGACAAATATAGTTACTCATGATTTGTCCCTGTGGACTTTAAGTCCTTTAGTCATAACTTACAAACAGTTCAGATCACCACCCTGTTACCATATATTATCACTGTTTTCTTGGCATAAAGATACAAACACTTTCATGGTACTAGGATGGGCCCCGGGTTTTGGCCCTGCATCCATGGAGAATTGCTTGTAATATTACTTTTAACTCATTTACTCCTAAAACACATTTGAACTCCCCCAAATCAAAGGTTGGAATAGTTCATTATGAAGTTTCAGGGATGAATGAGTTAATAAGAATATTTTGCATTGGTTGCTTGAATATTTAGATAAGCTTCAATACAGGCCCTGTGGGTCTCTTATAATTGAAATTCATCACAGAAATATAATCTTTATTGTCATTTTTAGCTCACCTCCTGTACAAATGAAAGGATTTAAACCAAATGTGGTCTGAAGCATGCTTAGGGGGGAAAAACTCAATTTGTTTAATTTGTATAAAAAGGTGCATGTGAGGCCCAATAGGGGAAATAGAGGAAAATTGGGACATAACATGGAAACTCATTTTCTTGGTGTCTTTCCCACCAAAACAGATTTATATGTAGTTCTTCTTGCAACTTTGTTTCTTGTACTCCTTTGATAAACCTGTATGGTACTCAGAAGGTTTTAAATTGAAAAATAAAATACCAGGTGAGCTATTAAGGCCCCTGGGCGTCTTGTTAGTGTAACAAATCCATACAAAAGCAGACGTTTAAATGCACTATTACAAACAAGTGTAGGTGTAAGATCGTAGCACTAGCCTTTTCCAATTAAATTGATGGAGCTGCTGGAGTTTATGTAATGCCACAGGATGTTGTAATCGTGATCATCACACAACCCATTAACACATCAAATGTCCTGTTCAAATCACCATACAACAATAAAGTCTGCCAGTTTCCAATATCTTACTGTGACATTTGAATCACATTACATTAATTTCCTCTAAAATATTTTAAGCTTTGAAGAAATATTTGTCACGTTGAAGGTGACCTTTTTTATTTTTGAAGGTAACATTTGATTAAAACTTGAAATTTTGTTTAATCATTTTATTTTGTGAATAATTCCTTTAGCCTTTATTTCTGAGTACTTGAATGTGCAATGGAGAAGGTGTGAATTCAATATTTATTGTAAATATCTGTGGAATTATACACATGAGATATTGAAAGTTGGCAGCAAAGTGTTTCAATGACATTGAAATCTGTTTCAAATAATTTTGGAAATTATCACACCAAGTAGGCATACAATTCCAGATCATACGTACTGCTTGAGGCAAAATCTCACTGATTTTCACCTCCGATAACGTCTCACTGCCTGGGACATAAAATTGCAGGAAGTCCTCAAAAGATGAAAAACACACATTTTTTTATGATCATTAATCTGTGACCCATTCTCCTTTGGCTGTTTACTGGAGGTTTTACGAGATTCTACAGTGTTTTGAACGATAATTTAGAGAGCTCTCAAAAAGCGGTCATGTGACTGTGATTTAGTCAAGTCTTATTCAAGAGCTCTTCCGATAACTAGATTTATGAGTTGATCTCCGTGTCTCTTCAATAAATAGTTCGCAGTGATCTATATCTGTATGAAGAAACAGAAATAGATTCAGAATATATATTATGTTCGATCATTTCTGATTGTTTCTTTTCATTTTCATGGTACCAAAACAACATTCTAAGCCATCGCGTGATGGGGTCATTTCAGCTTCAAAATATCTTGTGAAGATTAACTCTACATGGGCAGACAAATTTCTGTGGGTAATGGTCTCTGCCATGTTTGTATTGCTAGCTCAGTGTCGGACACCCTGATAAATACAGTGTCAGGCAACATGTTATATTACAAATAGGAACAGTACGAAAGTAAAGAGAATGGTAATGGACATGTCAAAGAGATATAATGTGGAGAAGGCCTGAAGTATTGAAATTCAGAATTCTACAGCTTACCGCAATACACTTTTTCTCACAGCTGATCATTTAAGTCATGTTTTTAAATACGTGTTTCCAGATTCTATTAAGTACATTGCCCAGAAATTAAAATGTAAATAGAACAAGACAGGTGTTATCCCTTCACACTTATGAAAATCCACAGCCCAAATTGACACCATTATTGACCTGTCCAACTGAATTTATAAATTGTATCGTACAGACTGCTTCATTAGTCTGACATCTCAACTGTCTGATATTCTGTTTTGTAAACTTCGTGCTACTAATAATCATACATACAAAACCTTTGCCAAAGTCAAAATAAAGTTCCTTATTTTATTAGTCCCCCAGTGGTTCCAGGGGACTTAATACATTTGCATAATGTCAGTTCATCCTTCTGTTTGTCCAAATTCTGTCCATCCAAAAAGTTTGTCTGCGGCATATCTTCTATAATATTTACCTGCAGTAACCAGATTTTGTATGCAAGTACATCTTGGAGTGGCAAAGTGTCCGGTACAAAAAATAGGTCACTGTGACTTATGGTTTGACCTTAATTGACTTTAATCTTTTAAAAAGTTTGTCTGGGGCATATCTTCTATAATATTTCACCTAAAGTAACCAGATTTGGAATGAAGATACGTCCATCTTGGAATGGGAAAGTGTCAGGTACAAAAAGGAGGTCACTGTGACCTATGGTTTGACCTTTGACCTTAACCTTTGAAAAAGTGTGTCTGTGGCATGTCTTTTATACTGCATCACCTGGAGTAACCAGATTTGGTATGTAATTAAATCTTGGCTAGCATAGAATGACATACTACAAGACATAATTTTTGTCACTGTGAACTATTTCTGAGATAGGTGTACATGCAATTTGGTATATAATGGGATCATTCCTAATGGGGGACTAATGAATTGCCTTGTAATATTTTGCCTTGCTCATAATAGTTTTTACTTTATTTTATTGATTTAATGGGATAAATGGCATTTCAAACCATGAATAAAACCTCCAAGTGCGAACATGAGGGGACTAGATACATAAATATATGAAAGAGAGAAAAAAAATGTCAGTTTATGATGTATTTAGGTTTTACTATTTTAGATAGAAATAGATATGTTTGAGAAAGTGTATAGAAATGTCATGCTACAAATGGTCATAACAAGGGTTAACAGACCAGACCAATATATTCATCACGAAAGTTTCCTGAACATCAAATCCAATCAGTTTGAACATTTAAAAACTTTGGATCAAATATAGAAATCTTACAGGACACTAAACATCCCATTCATGTTCGGGACAAACAGTAGTAGATCAGCGTCGCAGAGGCCTGATGTTTTTGTATTGTTTGTAAGAAGTGCCTTTTTCCAAGGCCATGGTTCTCCTCAAGTCTACCGATTTGTTAAGTGTAAGAACCTGGGGTCAAAAGATCAATATCAAGGTCATGTTAACCTATTTTGGGTTATGGAAAAGCTTCCCAGTTTGACAATTGTGTTCTTACTGCACTAATTTACAGACGTTATTTATCAACAGGAACCAGGAGTACTCGCTGGCCTGAGACATCCATTTCTGTTTAGTTTAATTGATTTATATCTGGTATTTTTCAGAGTGAGGATGTGGGCCGATCAATTCAGCAGAATCATGACAGAGGAAGTGAAAAAATTTACAGCGTACGATTTCATCAGAAAGGTAAGTCTGAAACCCTTGTTCTATGTTACTGCTGAACAATAAACCAATGTCAGGTTATAGTTTAGCTGTAGTGAGGCATCCTAATCCTCCATCCTTCATGAACCTCTTCAAATGTCTTCTTCAGAACAAATGACCCAGGAATCAAATTAAAGGTTTTATAAAGGAAAGGTGTAACTGAAAGACAGAGGCAAACAAGAAAATAATTGCAGTGTTATATTTCACGAGAATATTTTGCCTTGACTGGTTAACTTAATATTCATGTGAGTATGGTTGAAATATTTATCACATGATTGCAGTTTTGATGATATGGGAGGCACCGGGCTCGTGACCGAAGGGTTGCGGGTTCGAGTCACGGCACGGCACTGTGTTGTATCTTGGAGCAAGATACTTTACTCCGCTTGTTCCAGTCTACTCAGCTGTAAAATGAGTACACTGTTGGGCAGTGCTAGAATTGTTGAATGCTAGCTATGCACCGGCTGTATACTCCCCAGGGAGATGATGGTTGCAAAGGCCCAATAACCATGGATAATAATTTGTGAACCGCTTTGAGATGACCTACGAACTAGATTGTGATAAAGTGATAGATAAGAACCACACGTTATTATTATTATTATTATATGTCAATTTAGACCTCACTCGCCCTCTAAGGATCCTGAGGGGCTGGGCCGAATAGGGTTAAATTGGCTAAAATTTCAACAATCTTCTTCAAACCCATATTTGCTATAATCAAAAACCGGTCATTGAATGGAAAACTCCTACCCATTATACCCTAGGGAGGGGGAAGAGTTTACTATAGTTTAAATAAGGCAACATCAATTTTTGGTTTATTTTGTTTATTCTAAGTGGAATTCATTCAAACTTGGCTGGAATTTTAATCATGTAATACAAGTTTGATGATATCAAAATCAAAAATTAAGACTCTGTCTCAACGCTAGGGTCTGGCTGACTTTGTAAATTCCAGGTCAAGCTTATTGTGTGCAAGACAAAACATATGTCACTCAGAGATGACACAAAATTATTAAATTTGACATGAATATTTCGTCACTCGTTATTACCCCTCGCAGAATTTCCCTGGGAGATTCAGGAGTTAAAGGGTATGTATAAGAGAGAAAACTTAAGTTGAATCTTTTTTGGTTAAGTCCATGCGGGATTAAGTTTAAGTTGTGGTAGAGAGAAAACTAGTTTACCCTTTTTGCTAGTTGTGTGTTAGAGAGAAAACTTGTTGACTATTGGTAGAGTCCAAAGCTCATGACCAAAAAGAATCCACAAGTTTATATTATCGAAATGTATAATGATCTGCAAGTCCAGAGACAAGGTGAAGGACAATAACACTTGTAACCATCAGGCAATTGATTGTAGTAGTCTGCTATCATGTTAAATGAATTGACCACTTTATATAAAAGGGCCAATATCTCATTCTGCTTGCAAGGTCCTCTGGCCAAGATTGTGGTTGTTGTCATTAAGTGACATTGGCAATGCCCAAAGATGGTGCGGGTTCTGTATGGACATCAGCTTCAGCAAGATGGAACTGTCAAGTTAAACAAACAGCCAGAGTATCATTCCAAACGTGGTATCTTAAATGGAAGGGTGGTCTGGCAAATACTAATAGCATGTGATTAACGTTGACTGTGATTGGTGCTGAGAGGTCACCTGACGTTGACATTGAAACTAAAGTAAGAGCTGGAGAGGCTGGATCATTTGATTAAATATCATCAGAGGTCGGCCTGTCAAGATAAGGACAGATATCTTATTATCTCAAGTATTGGCTACAAGCGGTAGTCTGGTTTCCATGTTTAAGCAGTTACAGTCACAGAACCATAGTACGTGTCTATAACACCAGGCATAGAATTTACACACAGAACTGTCACAAAAGAGTGGTCATTCACATGGGAGTGATATCAGTAGCAGTAAGAATTAATAACAAAATAGTGGACCCACAGTGGGGGTCAGATAATACAGTAGTGGTCAATATTTGTAAAACAGTAGTGACTATACACGCAGTAGTGGTCAGTATTGATAACACAGTAGTGGTCACAAAGTAGTGGTCAGTATTGATAATTACAATAAGTTTATATAATAATACTATTTTTTTTGTGAATGACCCTAGCGACTAAACAACGACTGGTCTGGGTACATCTTGACTAATTTAGATGAACAGACCACATGGGCTTTGTGAACAATGTTTACTTGCCGAAATATTCACAATTGAAGTTCCAATTTAATCCGCCTTGCTACTTCCAGTCGCCATTTTGTAAACAGGGGCCTAATCTCGAGCTGATGCGTGTTTGAAAGAGTTTGACGTATTGCAAAGCTTCTAAACGATCATGCCCAGAACATACTCTCTAAGGATGATGTTTTTGATAAATTTACTATCAATTATTTACTATATTTCTTTTTTGTATCACTTTCATTAATTCATAAAAGAACAAAATGATTTTTTCCCCTTCAATTTTTTTTCTTTCAAATGTTAAAACACATTTTTTTTGAAAAAATGTTCTAGTTTCCAGATTATGATCAAACGTCGTCTGCTTCGCTAACATTCAAGAAAATAATATTTACAATGTATTGATATTTTTATTAAACTCGTTATACTTTAAACTTTCTTTAATTAATAAATATCAAAGGTTTTGTGAATTGAAAATGCATTTTATGACGTAACCAGAAGCGCAATTGATACGAGAACGTGACCCAGAAATACCTCACAACATAATCAGGACAGTAATAATAAACAGACGTTTATCGAACATTAACAGATTAATACCGTATGTATTGAGACACTGATGTGCTATAATACAACAGAAGGTAACACTCATTTAATCAACTGCTATCACATCAAGTACTAACTTACATTTATGCAAAAATATCAGCATTAAATGTTTGCGATCGCGCAGACCTACTTTCGTTTTACAGTTTACATACAGTTGTACATGTCGGCATCAACAGTATACCTTAACTTGTGTCCTTCATCGTGCCGAAGATTATACATAGGCGCATTCGAGGAAAAGTTCGTGATTAAAAGCTTGTGTGTGTGTTTTTTTATCTTAAAATTATCGGATAAAAGCAAAGTGGCATGTTGCTTCAAAATAAAAGATACAAGAATCATTATTTTACGTTAAATATATGTCATGGTTAACATAAGCTCTCAGGAGCTTGATACATTGTAACAGTGTAAGGCAAACAACAAATTTTGTCACAAGATACCTACGTTTGAAGGATTAAGATAAAGAGGCTAAATAATCATATATGCTGTACAAAATTTGGCACTAAAACAACTTACTTAAAAGCCAGTCCAGAGGGCAGGTGATTGGGACATAGCATTTATTTGTAACCAGGAGCAAGGGTTTGGTAGCCGTTAATATTAAAAGGCATTTTTAGTATTGATGCTGCTCGGATTGATGCCAGTGATGTATTTATCGCTTACAAGTTAAAGCGTCGTTATCCAAAAAGAAGAATAGTACAAATTGAAAAGTGTGAATTGCCTACAGCTCTTGTCAAAAGTCAAAAACATTTCTCTCATGTTCTTTCTCGTCACCTGGACGTTTGTAAGTTAGAACAGCTGGTCTCGCAGACGCTTAAACTATGTACACAATATATATACAGTTATACCACAGTATTGTATTGTCTCGGTATGGCTACGAATGCGTTCCAGGTCAGGTAGTAGAGCATCAAATGTATTAAATTCAAATAAAGCACCACTTCACAACAATCATGGATTCATATGGGTACAATGTTATTANATTTTGTAGCTTTTCACTGGTGAACATTTCCCTATGATATTATGGAGCAAAGTTGTTCGATATTAAACAAAGAGACACACTGAGGTAAAAAGTCGAGGTCAAAGGTCAAGGTCATTAGGCTCAAAGGTCAAGGTCAAATTTTATATCTTTTCACTGATGAACATTTTGTTATGACATTATGAAGCAAAGTTGATCAGAATTAAACAAGGAGACAACTGACCTAAGGTCAAGGTCATCGGGTCAGGTGTCAAGGTCAAATTATGCACCTTTTCACTGATGAACATTTTGCTATGACATGATGAAGCAAAGTTGATCAGAATTAAACAAGGGGTCAACTGACCAAAGGTCAAGGTCATTGGGTCAAAGGTCAAGGGTAAATTTTGTATCTTTTCACTGGTGAACATTTCGCATTGACACTTTGAAGCAATGTAGCTCAGATTAAACAAGGAGTCAATTGACCAAAGGTCAAGGTCACTGGGTCAAAGGTCAAGGTTACATTTTGTATCTTTTCCTTGATGAACATTTTGTTATGACATTATGAAGCAATGTTGTTCAGAACTTAACACAGAGTCAACTGACCTTAGGTGCAGGTTACGGGTTTCAAAGTGTCAAGGTCAAGTTTTGTATTTTCACTGATGAACATTTTGTTATGATATTAAGGAGCAAAGTTGGTCGGAATTTTAGAATAAGTCAACTGACCAAAGATCAGGGTCACTGGGTTAATGGTCAAGGTCATTCGGTTCCAAAGGGCAAAGACAAAGTGGATCTCTGACTTTGACCCTGGCTCTTGATGGAGGAGGTATATAAGGTTAAATAAAACAATTCAAAGCTAACAAATGAGTATTGCACCAGTATTTACGTTTCTGTTAGCCCAGCAAATATGGAGGTGGAAGGAAACAAGACTCACATCATAGTACATGTAAAATGTATATTTTGCTTCCTTGCGATTCTTTTTTGAAGTCCACATATCAAATGTCAAGCTCAGCTATATTGGCAGATTGCTTCTTGATGATTATGGGGGATATATTGCCACAAGACGGGGCCCTTACTGACCTGTCAGTGTTCTAGTTAAAATAACATTCATACAGTGCATGCAAGCTGAAATTTACAAATCATTTGTTCATCATTTCCATGAAATTATCCAAATAAATAAGATCTTTATGTCAAAATAAACTTCAGGTATGATTTAGTATTGTTTCATGTACGTCCTATCAACAGCTATACATGGTCATTTAAGCACGGCCTCCCCCATTTGCTAGATGC